GACTGTAGATTGAATTAAAAAATCCTGAAAGTATATATATTCAATTTTTATTTTGTAAATTGCTTTCAGAAACTCCTATAGTTAGGAATATATAATTAGGAATTGTATAAGTAATATAAATTTTTAACCTTCATCTATTCGTATACATTATTATTATTATAATTCACATATTATAATTCAAATATATATACATCTTAAAAGTATAATTTTAAAGTTTAAATTCTACAGTCAAAGTTGCTTTTGAAATAATAATAAGTAATCATATATATAAAAATTGCCTATTCCTACCTGTAGTATCTAAAATAAGATATGCCAATGGATATCCTGAGTCTTCAAAATTGCTAATAAGTCTATATAATTCAAATCTTCCTTTTGCAGTCTTGTATATTGCATCACAATAGACTTCAGTAATAAGCTGATTATTCTTAATATTAAGTAAAGGTATTGTAAACTCTATTGCTATTATTTGACTATTTATTAACTCAAAACAGAGTTTATAGCTAGTAGTATAATCTGATAAGAGAAAATTATATGCTGATATAATATAATTCTCATCTGACTTGTAAAAATTTTGAGAAAATAAGGACTACTAGTAATAGATTTGTTGTATTATAATTTTTGAAGTATCAAATCTATTATGAAGGTAGGTTCAAAGCTGTGTAAGATCCAAGTAAAGATTTACTATAATTGCCTGTTTAATTTCAATTGGTATTGTAATATTAACTGGTCTCTCATGGATAATTTCATGCTTAAGTTTTAGAATTACTTTTGATACAGAAATATCAACTTTTATTATTAACTTTTTGTGACAATTAAAATAATTCATTCTCTGATGATTTAACTCTTTACAATCACATGCTAATTTATAAAATTGAGAATAGCCAAAATAAAAAGTACTAACATTTTCATAGCAAGTTGAAAGTCAAAGTGCTGTTTTGATCCTTATAAAATTTAAATATATTAATAATTTATATAAAATAATTTTATTACTAATTATGTTTAACTACATATGTTGTTAGAGTTTTAGTTTGTGTAAAGGCTGTGTGAGGCTCAAGTGATAGCACAAAGCCTCTAACAGATCAAGCTTCTTAAGATCTTAAAATATATAAAAGCACAGGCTGTCTCATTTTAATAAAGAAGAGGAGTTAACATCCTTCTTGATAAAGTAATATAAATCATTGATCTGCCTTTCCTTTATTCCCAACTATCATTAATACTTGAATCCTACCTGGTTAAGTGAGATGTTATCACATCCCAACTATGTTAACTATTAGAGCTAAACCATGCACTGTTACTCACTCTTCCAATTAACAATAGTAACATATGGTGCTGATTGTATGGATGGATAAATGGATGGATGTTTCATCTCACATCTTCATCACTGTTAAAGACCCAAAATAATAAATATTTACTATAACTTCAGGAAAATGATGAAAGACCCTAAAATTACAAGACAAATACTCACCTAATTGATACTAACCCAATACTTCTGATTGATGTACCTACTAAAAAAAAAAAAAAAATTACTTAACCCAGAGACAGTTGGCAGTTACTCATCTTGCTTGGAAGTAGCCACTTCACATCTAAGCCCAAGGAAAATTTTGAGTTTAGAATGTAAAAGCCCTACTTACATATTTAAGCTGAATTCAAGGCAGTTCAAGCTG